TCTATCTCCATTATTCTTCTGAAATGTTATATCCAACTTGCCTTTTATAGCTATGTCCTGACTGCTTCTCTAAATTCTGCTGCACAACCAAATTCATGCTTATTTCAAGTTTCTTGTTTCCCAAGTCTGTATGAACATTGAAATTTAGATAAGATGGCCCACTTGTGGCATCATCCTCATCCTCTCCACCACTTGAAAAAGCCAAACTCATCAACTCCTCACTTGGTACATATTCAGAAGCTTTATCACTATCATCGTCTTTATCAGATTCAATATGAGGTTGTGTATCCTCAGTTACGTCATCTACTTGATGGTCAACATCATTTATGCCCTCATTCACCTCAGTTGCATATTCATTATTTCTTACTTCATCAACCTCCTATACGCTTCTTCATAATTTCTTATTCCATTTGTTGCATCCATCATATCTACCATAAAGTTGTCATCATAGAAGTCCAACAAACATTGTCATTGTAATCTACATCATTCCCATATTTAATTTTAGGCATATCAAAATCACTGTCATTTAAAGTTGGTATTGCAAACGCATCATCATTCTCATTCTCATATTTAGTTGGTATTACAGGCATATAATCATTGTCATTCTCATTCTTATCTTCAGTTGGTATTACAGGCACATCATCATTCTCATTCTCATTCTCATCTTCATATGGTATTATAAGCACATTAACATCATTCTGATTCTCATCTTCACTTGCTATTGCAGGCACATCAACATTATTCTCATTCTTATCTTCAGGTGGTATTGCATTTCCTACTTCAGGAATTGACACCACATATAATTTAATTAGGCAGAACATATGGTACATTTGGAACATATCAATCATATCCCTGTCATTCTTTAATTCCTTAACAATCCTATCAATGTAAGACCTGTAGAATAGTTTACTTGTTCTAGGAGGATAACCAAACAATCTTATCTTGTACTTAATTTCTATCATTGACATAAGATCATTTTCTATACCTCATAGATCTCAACAGACCCACCAAAAAAATGGACTTAAATATATACTACCAAACAGACTACTATAATGCATTTCCAGTGTGTAAAACTTTTCAAAAGCGGGATTAAAACCTACAACAAATAATTTTTAAATAAAACAAATATCATAAACCATCAAAACAAAATCAAAAGCAAACATGACACAAGTAAAAGAAATAGTCCTGACACAGTTCCACAAAAAAAATAGTATTTATAACTAATTTCAATAATAAATTACAAAAAATAAATTATGCAAAACATATATTATGAACAAAAAACTTAATTATAGATCATTGGACCAATACCCTATAAACAAACCCTAATTTTCACTGAGACCATAGCCCTGTAAACAAACCCTAATTTTGATTACAATAACATTAAACCTTAATATCGTACTCCCAAACAGTTGACATAACCCATCTTGAATCATACCCACCCAACAATAAGGACCCACATAAAAAATGAACGACTATAAAACTCTAAGTACTACAAAACAACGACAATGAGTCAAAGTTTGTCCACACCTGGCACCATTTTATCCAACAAATGTGACACAAACCACCTGGAATCCATCACGATCTTCTCCCAATGAGCGATTGCACACACACAATACTTGCTTTCAACGGTCGCACTCAACATGCACTCGCTTCCATACATTGCCCACATAAACACAAATACAACACAACACTTAGGGCACAAATCGTTTTATTAAAAAGAGTGTTTTATTTGAGAGGGAGTGTGTATCACCTCACACGACGTCGTTTCACACAAATGTCAAACTTGCCATTTAAAATCAACAATTTTACCTAATAAATAATTAATATATTAACAATGACATTACTATCATTTCGCAACAATTTAACGGTTCCGTCACAAAATGGGGTCAACGTGATAGTTTCTCTTACTTCAGGGAGTTGTTTGATAATTGAGGGGGTTATATGAAGAATTTGGAAATAACATAGGGGTTTTATGATTTTAACCCAAATTTTATATACAAATAGTGAAAAATTATTGTATGGTTCTCTAATTTTGTCACATCACATAGATTTTGTGATTTTTTTACGTACACAGTGAAAATAGAATATTTGTTCCATTTACTAATTCTTAATTTTCAAATTCAAAATTTGTACACAACATTTACATCATTTATGGTTTTTAAAGACACATACGTCGGGGGATTTTCAAAATTCAAGAGATTAGGAGAAAAGGCATTTGATGTGGACTTGGTTTGTTACACATTGAGAATCAATAAATAATTATAAAATAAAAAACAATCAAGAATAATGCTTTCTTTTTTTCTTTTTTTTTAAGGTAAAAATAATGCTTCTTTTTTCATAAGTTAGTGAGTGACAACTCGGTCAAAATTCCCCTTATTATTAGGAAAAAGGAGAGTACCCTCAAACAGAGTTAAGTATCTTTATGTTGATCATTTGAATGCAATAGTAAATCTCGTCAGCGAATTTTATCGTGTTCAATTAACCTCATGCTACTTTTAAAAATAAAATATGCTTGATTTTTAACTTCCAATGACACTAACCAAGAGTTATAGTAAATTTTTTTATTTCACAACATTTACACAAAGAACCATTGTAGCGCTTGACAATTCCTATCTTTCTTTCGAAATCCAAGATCAAACCCGATAGTAGGTAGAGCTTACAATATTTTAAATGGCATTTTTTTGGAACTTCTTGTGCAATGATTTATTATTATAATTTTTTTTCATAGCAAAATAATGTCAAGCCACGTGGAATTCGAAAGATGTATATTATAACTACATGCAAGCTGAAATTAGGGGTCAAAATTGGGTTTGGCTTTCGAGCATACAAGGAAAAGCTTTCTGGTTGGATCACACTGGTCCGTGGGCCATCAGATCATGGGTTCTTGTAAACAGCTATCACTACATTATTTTTCCACCAAAAAAAAATTTTCATATTAGTTTTATAAAAAATTTCATGTAATATAATAAATTTTTCACTTATTTATGAATGGATTCTCAATTTTCAAAAATGGCAACACTTCAAAAATGAAACGGTGTCAGTGTCGTTAACTTAGATAAGATCATAAGAGAATCAAGTATTATACGTACTTTAAACTATAAAAGCGTTTTTAGTAGAGCGGTTATAAAATTACTGTAAGTAAAATGCATGTTATGCGTTTGGTAATGTATTTTATAAATCGATTTTTATATTTAAAGCACTTGTAAATTTGTTTGGTAACAATCTTGCTTAAAGCACTTTTACTACCGAATTTACTAATAGTATCCCTATCCTCTGTATATTTTGTTTTGGTTCTATTTAATATGAATTCTTGCTTACAAAAAAAAAAAAAAAAAAAAAAACATTAGCACTCGTATTTATGAAATTCAAATTGTATAGGATTCAAGATCGAAATTTAGTTTTACTAATTATTGCTTGTTTTTTTCATGAATATACTGATTGTAGCTTTATGATAGTTTTAATCAAAAGTAATAATTACCCGATTCAAGAAGTTGATCTAAAAAAACATGTTGATATATATGGACAAGAAATAATATAAATATAGATTTTGGATAAATGAAAAAAAAATTGGATGATTATGGAACTAAACTCCACTAAACTTCTAATATAACTTGAATTTCTAATATATAGGTGAAACCTTAAAAGGAAGGACACTAAATTTCTAATATATAGGTTTCTTAAAGGGAAGGGTATAATAACAACAATACTAGCAAGTTCCCGTTTTTAGGCAACACAAATTGGTTTGCATAATATTTGTATATTTTTTTAACACTAGGGACAAAATTGTATTTATAAAAAGTAAAAAGGGATTAAATTGTCCAAAACAATATAATATCATAAAAAATCTACGTCTACTTAAAAATACAATTTTAAAAGTTACGATTTGTAACTTTGTGAACGCACTTACTGCAGTTTTCTAAAATTTAACATGCTATTGGAATTTTTTCTTTTTATTAATAAAATAGCAATTTGATATAAACATTAAGATGAAATGATTAAAAATAATAATTGTTTGATTTTTATTCAAAATTTCGGTTGGATTTAACCCAATGAGTCAGCTCAGCTTGGTGCCTCGTTAACTATCAAGTTTAAAGTTTCGATTTTCTTTAAGTGCAAGCAATTTATTGGGATCAAGTCCGAACGCCGAACTTTACCTTACCCATTAGAAGGGAATGCTTTGCACATTATCCTGTAGATAAGTCGGGCAAAAGCACCTAATACCCTAGCAATATATCTATGTATATATATAGTTGGATTTGAGTGAGGCAAAATCAGAGTGTAAACGGAACTATTGGGCCAAAATTGGGCCCACAACACACACCTCCTTTATAACATACACACCGCCGCCTTTACATATAACATACACACCGCCGCCTTTACATACGCACCGCCTTTTCAGGTAACATATACACACACCGGCCTATAACATATAACATATACAGCCGGCCGCCGGTGCGAAACTATTCTGATCAATCTCTCTGTCTACAAGAAATTACACACACATACGCACACAAGAAACTATTTTGTGATAAATCTCTCTGTCTACAAGAAATTACAGACATACGCATACAAGAAACTATTTTGTGATCAATCTCTGTGTCTACAAGAAATTACAGAGACATACGCATACAAGAAACTATTTTGTGATCAATCTCTGTAGAGTTTCGAAGCATAGACATAGACATGGCAGTGATTTCCAAGAAAACCTATTTGGGTCATCGCATCAAAAGAAGAAAAACATCAGCATCATCAACACCACCGAATTGGTCTGGACTCCCCACTAACTTGTGGAAGTCAATCCTGAACAGATTGTCTGTGGTCGATTTGCTTAGCGCCGGAGCAGTGTGTCGTTCTTGGTGCTCTGTTGCAGAAGCCATAAAAACATCTCTAGAGAGTCCCCTATTTGATCAACCGTTGCTCTTGCTTCCTGGTCCAGATCATGGCAAAAAAAATAGCCCTTGCTTATACAATTTTACAGAGAAAAAGTGTACAAGCAGATGATGAATATTCCAGAACACTTGGGTAATTGCAAAGGATCATCCCATGGGTGGCTGATTTTGTTGGACCAAGAAGCATTCCCACATATCTTCAATCCATTCTTGGGGGCTAGGATTCAACTCCCTCTTTTTGAAGTTCGCAAAACAAGCCTTCATTGCTTCTTTGTCCGGGATATTAAGAAAGTTGTACTCTCATCAGACCCAATTCAGAGTAAGAACAACTACTGGGTAGGAGTAATATATGGTGTAATTGATCCCAAGCTTGCCTTTTGGAAGTATGGAGACAGTGAATGGACTGCCCTGGACGGTGCAGATCATGCCTACTGTGATATCATTTCTCACCATGATCATATTATTGCTTTGGGTGAAACAGCTTCAGTTGAAATCTGGGATTTCAATAATTCTGTCCCTGCAAAAAAGATGCAGATTGAGCCTATTTTTCCTGAGAAAAGGGTGGAATTTGAAAATTCTCTTGGAGATGATCTTTATACCATTCAAAGTTACATAGTGGAATCAAAGGGTGATCTGCTGCTTATTGTGAGGTATATTGGGAATCATGTTCGCTGGGACGGTGTAGTTGTTCATGAGGCAGACCTTCTTGATGAAGAGAACCAATGCTGTATTTGTTCTCACTTGACAAAGCTATTTCATGTTTACAAGCTGGATTTCAGTCAGAAAACATGGGAACAACTGGCATCAATAGGCGATGATCGCGTGCTGTTTTTGGGTCGGAATCAATCTGTGTCACATTCAGCAAAGGGTTTTCCATCTTGTAAAGGGAATTCGATTTACTTCACGGACAATTACTATTGTGATCATTTGGGTGAGAATGACATGTATGGGCATGACACGGGCAGGTTTGACATGGAGAATCAGAGTATAGAAGTGATTAATGAAGATGAAGATGATTGGCAGAAGATTCAACCAGCACCCATTTGGGTTGTTCCTAATCCATGCTACTAGAGACATCCAAAGATATAATTTAGCAGAGTAGTTTCTTCCTATTTTTGTATTCTTATAGGCTACAAAATTGTGTATTAATAAATTTTTGAATTGCATATATATATTTTTTATTTTGATTTGATCAGTAAGAACGTAGTTTTTGATTTGTTGGTCCTTGTGAATCTGTTGATACTTGTATGTGAAAGTTTATACTACACTCTGATGGTCAATCAAAATGGCCCTCTTTTTGAAAGTTGTTCTGAACTAAATTAAAAGGAAAATTGTAAACCAAGGAAAGAAGCTTATTAAAATTATAACAGCCACACATACCAAATCAAAATACTCTACCTCAAAATTCTCAGTACCCCATTCTTCCAAAAATTCCAAAATGGGATATGCTGCTGATCCAACTGTTATATACACCATCAGTGCAAGATTCTTTACCAGTCCACAAGCCTAATGTAACACCAGATGACACACAAATGTACGTAGAAAAAGATGCAAATTATAACGCAGAATTCTATATTATGCAGCAAACTCACTTGTCCTTCAGGAGTTTCTGCAGGGCACATCATTCCCCATTGGGAATTGTGCAACTGCCGTGGTTTTGCTAGTTTCCCTGGTAAATGCAATTTATAACACAGTTAAAGCTGAAGGTTAAGAAAAAATAAACAAGCAATGGAGTTGCAACATAGATGAAACTGTGTGTGTGTGTGAGAGAGAGAGAGAGAGCCCTTATGGGGAAATCTAGACCCTTAACAGCATCATTGAACAAACAATGACAGAGAAAACTAAAATACCTTCTCGCCCTATTGGAGAATTCAATCTTCACAAGTGTGACAAAGTGGAGGCATATGTTAGGCGATTTAACACCTATAGAAATCGGAGAACATTTTAAAAATGATACTGCACATTCACCGGCTGCATTTGCCTGCCCCCGGTTCCCGATAGCAAGTGAGTATTTAAGGCCACTAGTAATTGGTTTCGCTTTAATTGCAAATTGCAGATTAACATCCTTCCCATTGTCAACACTCTGCACGATGCACAAAATTATATACATTCAAGCACCAGCAAAAGCATCAAATATAAACTATATTAAAGACTCCGTATGTAAAATAACCTTCTGAGCATAATGTCACGGGCCTAGAGATTTGGCGCAGCGGCACGGCCCGTGCGGCACCAAGGCGTTGCTTCAGCTCGCGCAAGCGCCCTGGTCAGCCACCACGACCTGCCCTCCCAAGGATACATGCTGACTAGTTTCGGCCTACCATGGCCTCGTCAGGGGAACGGCTCCAGCTCCCGACCAGTTTGTGCAGGGATGGCCAACTCCCTTCTTCATAGTCAAGTCCACGACCAGCGACAAGCACCTCGAACTGAACCGAGTCGACCTGCCTGAACTCTGAAGAGGTACCATCCTGTGCTCCTGCACGCCCCTTCCCTGGAACCATTCCCAGTCAAACTCTGCTCTTTGCCAACCAGCATGCGTGTCTTCCATCCTCCAAGCGTCTTAGGAATCACTTCGTGACATTCTCCCCCACCCAAATCCTGCGACGTCCTCGTCGCAGTGCGGCGCTTCACTACTGCGTCCACTCCCTTCCAAAGTCTGCCTCCATGCGGTATGCTCGCCTTCCCACCATCGCTTCCTCGTGCAGCTCCCTGCACTGCACTCGCCCAATGATAGGCCTCGGACCAAGGGGACGTCCACTCCTCAAGGACGTGACTCTTCTCCGTCATGCCGCCTCCGCGACATCCCGAGCAAGCAATGGCCTTCTGCCGACTTGATGCTCGCCCTTCACCATGGTTTGCATCACCCAAGGACTAAGCACGAACTTTGGTGTGCGCGGCCCTCCGGCCCTTCAATGCGCAACTTCAACGGACGCTTCTTCCTGGGGAGATGGAGGCTCTCCCCCCCAACTGCATTGATTCCTCCTCATCGACGCAACTTCAATGCACCGTCTTCATTCTCTGACCCCTCCCGGACCGACAAGGGGGCACCCCACCGTGCTTTACCCCAAGTCCCGCTCTGATACCATTTGTCACCGGCCTAGAGATTTGGCGCAGCGGCACGGCCCGTGCGGCACCAAGGCGTTGCTTCAGCTCGCGCAAGCGCCCTGGTCAGCCACCACGACCTGCCCTCCCAAGGATACATGCTGACTGGTTTCGGCCTGCCATGGCCTCGTCAGGGGAACGGCTCCAGCTCCCGACCAGTTTGTGCAGGGATGGCCAACTCCCTTCTTCATAGTCAAGTCCACGACCAGCGACAAGCACCTCGAACTGAACCGAGTCGACCTGCCTGAACTCTGAAGAGGTACCATCCTGTGCTCCTGCACGCCCCTTCCCTGGAACCATTCCCAGTCAAACTCTGCTCTTTGCCAACCAGCATGCGTGTCTTCCATCCTCCAAGCGTCTTAGGAATCACTTCGTGACAATAAGCTCTCACATCCCTTGTTAACTTTCTGACTAGCTGCAGTAATATAAACAACCACCAAAACTTTAGAAACCCAAAATCATTGAAAACCCAAATGAAAATCAAGGACTTTCAAATGGTCATAGAAGCTCCAAAATATTAAAGCAATGACAAACCATTCGAAAGAGGCCACCAAGCAAAGGACCAGTAAGATCGAGTCTCTTATTGCCATAGTGATCCCTATCATCCTCTGCCCTTCGTCCAATTGCACATAGCAGAAGCCGGTGAATAATATATCTGGTAGAAAAGCAATTAGTGTCTCTCTAAATCACTAAGAAGCCACAAAAAAGGAACATATTCAAATTAGACGAAACCTACCCAAAATAGTAAGCTTTCTTTGTCTCACAATATTCTCCTACACCAACATGAGGAAGCATTTCCTTTTGGAGGATCTCTTTGGCATACCTATGAAGTAAATGAACAAGAGACTCTTCTTAAACAAAAAAAGAAGCACAAAAGATAGCTTTACACTCGAGTATAGCAACAGCCAGCAATCATAACACATACTTCATCCTCTTTTCATTTGTGACACCGACAGTGGCCCCTCGTTTCCCGAAGTAGTCCAGTGCAACCTGCAATACAGGAAGAAAAGCATAACCGTCTCAGTAAGGCCACAATGCCACATCACCACAAGAAAAGCGAGAAAGAAAAAAAAAAAAAAAAAAAAAAAAAAAAAAAAAAAAAAGAGAGAGAAAAGAAATCAAATGGATGCTAACATTTACAATAACATATACAGATTAAGTCCCAAAATTAATTAATTTATATAAATGACACTGAATTTGAAATCTAGGAAACAAGAGCTGAAACCTAAACAAATATATTGAAGCTGCTAAAAAATCAAATATGAATTAGAACTGAAAGGACATTACTTTTGAAAGGTAAAAACAATTTAAATGCCAGCAAGCCCGAAGATTATGTTTAGTTCATATTGGAAACATGAACCGCTATATTTATTCATATTGCTTGAAGTTTAGCTTATTCAATACAGAGCAAACCAGAAAGAAAAGCTAATCTCACACTAACTGCCCGTTAAAAAAAAAAAAAAGGATAACAGATATAAAAATTTAAATGATGATATAATACAGTGGGAGAGTTACCTGTTGATTTTATATTACAAATGCTTCTTCCAAGGAGGGTTGAAGCAACTCCATGAGTGTCAAAGAAATCATAGCAAATATGTTCTAATATATCTTTGTCAGCAACAAATCCTAATGCCCGAAACACAATTATAATAGGAATCTCAGTCCGAATGTACGGAAGGGTAGGAACCCTGCAGTTACATAACATACCCAAAAACAACAAAAAATTCATAAATTCCATAAGAATTCAAAGGCCAAAAAAAAAAAAAAAAAAAAAAAAAAAAAGACTGCTTTAAAAAACACCCCTAAACACCATATTTAATGCCCATTACCCCTTTGGCACAATTCTGTGAAAGCATCCACACAAACATGCTACTGCGTGGCCTGTTCTGGGAGTCCACCATTGATCGGACTTCCACCACATAGGCATACTTGTTTGGCTGCCTCTTCTTAAACACAGACTTGATTGGTGCTCACCTTCTACTAAGCAATTAGAACCTTTTCACTCCCATTGATAATAAAATACCCACCTTGATCATATGGACACTCTCCCAGCTCCGTCAAAACCTTCTCTGAATTCTGATATAATGTGCAGTAACTCGACCAGAGCATTATAGGAACCTAAAGTACATGGCAAAAAAGAAGCAGAAAGTCAATCCTGAAGGACAACAAAGAGGCATAAGAGCCTATTCCCTGTTGTCAAACTTTCATCAGTTCGGAATCCAATTCGCATACCTTCCCAATCAAGACTTTAGTAAAATCTTGAGTTTCAGTTACTTCTTCACCATCATGCCCTTTTTTTTTTTATCAATCTCTTAGTGACATCCACATACAACAGAGCTGAGTATGTTAGATTCCTCAATCTCGCTGCCTTCGGAAACAAAGTCACAGTTTCTCCATCTGACATCATTGGCTTACTAAAATATATCTGACCAAAGCTAATCTTATAGATGGTCTGCAAGACACCCATAATCATTACTACCAAGAAGCAAAGTTAACCCATAAAGGAAATTCTATTTCTACTTTCAATCAACCAATCAACAAAACTATTTACTCTATGGATAGTATAACAATAATAATTTATTTCTCTTGTAACATTTAAAATCACATTTATTTTTACAGAACAGAATACGAACATGGTTTGTAGATCTATTTATATAAAATGCTGACCCTAAATGGTTGGAAAAAGGCTTTGTAAGGCATATTTATTATATAAAATATGTAGAACTTCCATTAATTTAAATGTGGAAGATGAGGCTTAAAGTCAGAAAGATAATTATATTAAATATACTACTACTATACTTTTACCATATTTTTGCCATTACAATTGTATTTGTGGTGACCACGTATACCATAGAAAAGATAGGTTGAATAATTCGGGCATGTCATCTTGTTTTCAAAATTGTCTTATGTGATTCCTCTTAAAATGTGTTTGTGCTACAAAAATCACTTGGGCAGTGCCTTAGCTGCACCGGCCAAGTGTATGACATAATGTAATTTTTTTGGAAATTACAGCCAAGGACAAGTTCAAACACGTGTCTAAAAGTGTCTATAAATGTCACAAACATGGAAGCTCCATAGAATTGTCCATGCTTCTTAGGCAAGAAACTAAGAAATGACAATCCAACATCAAGAAGGAACTCAGACCAACACAAAATTTGTTTTCATTTTTGCTTCCCATCAAACAATTACCGAATTGTATCTCCCACATACAATTGCATTAACTAACCAATAAATACAATAGATTCTGGTAAAACTTAAATTACAATTACAATTAAACAGTGATGAATCTTTACATCCTTTGTCTCATAGGTTCATTTAAAGCAACCCAGGATTGCCAGTGTTACAGAACTATATAGTCATAAAACAGCTAACCAATTATCATAAGCAAAACCATAATTTCAGTTCAGCCGAACTAACATAAAAAAATATTAGGCTTTTCCAAGAACCACCCAGGAACACAGGAAAAACAAATTACAAAACCAACCACCTAAAGCTACTTCACACTAAAATCATATAAAGATCTTCAATTTCCACCTTCAGTCAAACTATTAACATAAGTTATCTTGACCAACCAACTAAAGCAACTAATCAATGACTATTTTATATCAGAAGTCCATCATTCAGTTAAACATAACAATTTTTTACCCAACTACTTCAGGCAGATATTCTATTTCACTATATCCAAGGTAGTCTTGTTTGCAGTTGCCCAAACCATATTGATCGATTTAATGCACCCCGCACCTTCTGTCACATTCATGGGTGTTCAATAAAGAAAATTATGTATTAATCTTTTATTGTTTTCCATTTACCTTTAAATTGATCCATATTTAACACAATCTCCTTTCTATAATGCCCTTTCTTCTTCTAGTTTATAATTTATTAGAAAATTGTTTGGCATAAGATATATTGACTCGATTAAATCCCACAATTATGGGGCTTCCACATCTTCTTTTTTCTGCCAGTAAATGAATAATAAAATAAAGAATCTCACTCTTATGGGTCTGCAAACATATAAATTTTGACAACTTTGAATATGTAACAGAGTTAGAAAACGTCCCAAAAAAAAAAAAAAATAAATAAAAAATAAAATAAGATACAACCTATCACCATCAACTGCTTTGCTTCAAGGGGGCTGCATAACAAATTTATTATGCTGATTTCGGTGTTGCCTTGGGGTGTCTTAACAATACCACAGTCATCTTGGTTTATCATTACCAGTTAATGGAGAGGAATGTCCTTTTAAGACTTAATTAACTCAAATGATCAATAAATGAAAAAGCTAAATTTGAAAACTATTTAATAATGAGCTATGCTACATAAACGGAAAATACACATTGAATAAACTATGCCAATCCAATTCATTGGTCAAGTGGTATCACCAGTGAAGACTACTTCAACATTTTAAATGGTGGTTTAGGCTTTCTCAGCTTGGAAACACAAAACAGAGCTGCAATTTTAAACATATGTGGAAACTTGTGTCAAATACTCAAAACAACCTATGACTCAAACAAAATACTTAATCAGAAGGAGATGCTTTGGGATTTTAGCATGCCTCAACAAAGCAGTTGGATATGGAAAAAGCTACTTCAGCTGAGTTCCTTAGCAATGCCCTTCTTAATTAAAAACAAGGATAAAATGGTTCAGAAACTCTCTTCCGGACTAACAATTGGCAGCAAGAAGGCCCTCTGATCCTCAAATACAGCCACTCGCCAGCCCATCTCTCCTTGATTCCTCGTAACCATTTTACTCAGATGATTCTTAGTGTTTCCCTCCACAAATTCTTTCCCGGTTCCCAGCTTTTAAGTTGCCTGTTAAAAGACCCTTGGATATTCAAGTACTGCTTGAAGCTAGGTTACTTAATTAGCTTATAGCTTGATTGGCGCAGGGAAAGAAAGTAATGCATATAATCCTTTAGACCAATATGAAACTATGGGCTGTATTGCAAAAGGATGCACTAGCAGCGCGACCAATACCTAGTTCTTAATATAGTTTTTCAGAGCGTGCACGAATGGACACTTAAGAACTGAAACGGGATGGTGTAGCAAGGTCCCTTTGGATTGAGAATCAATGCTTGATCTCATAGCCCCAAGAGTAGGTTTATTAACTCCATGGCTGCTCCCATTTCCATAGCTCTTCTTCTCTCCCTCCTTTTTGATAATGTTGTGCCTTCTCAACCCATTGATTTCCTCTACAACAGATTCAACCCACCATACGGATATGGATTCAACCAAACAAACCTTATTCTAGATGGATTTGCTACCATCATCCCACAAAGTGGAGCTCTTGAGCTTACTAACAAATCTTCTACTAATGTCAGAGGCCATGCATTATATCCCCAACCAATTCAATTGTTCACCAAAAATTCTTTTTCTGTCAACTCTTCTAATTCCTTTAGTACATACTTGTTTTTGAAAAAGTCCCCAAAGATGATAACCAAGGCGGCTATGTCCTCGCCTTCACTTTATCTCCTTCACCACAATTTGCCGGAGCTGAAGGGGATCACTACCTCGGAATTTTCAACTCAACAAATGATGGGAACCCCTCAAACCATACCTTTGATGTTGGATTCAACACTATTAATGGGCACAAAGAAGCACCAGATACCCCAGGTAACCATCAACTGCTTTGCTTCAAGGGGGCTGCATAACAAATTTATTATGCTGATTTCGGTGTTGCCTTGGGGTGTCTTAACAATACCAGAGTCATCTTGGTTTATCATTACCAGTCAATGGAGAGGAATGTCCTTTTAAGACTTAATTAACTCAAATGATCAATTCATGAAAAAGCTAAATTTGAAAACTATTTAATAATGAGCTATGCTACGTAAACGGAAAATACACACCGAATAAACTATGTCAATCCAATTCATTGGTCAAGTGGTGTCACCAGTGAAGTCTACTTCAACATTTTAAATGGTGGTTTAGGTTTTCGTAGCTTGGAAACACAAAATAGAGCTGCAATTTTAAAACATATGTGGAAACTTGTGTCAAATACTCAGAACAACCTATGACTCAAACAAAATACTTAATCAGAAGGAGATGTTTTGGGGATTTTAGCATACCTCAACAAAGCAATTGGATATGGAAAAAGCTACTTCAGCTGAGATCCTTAGCAATGCCCTTCTTAATCAAAAGCAAGGATAAAAATGGTTCAAAAACTCTCTTCCAGACTAACAATTGGCTGCAAGAAGGCCCTCTGATCCTCGAATACAGCCACTCGCCAGCCAATCTTTCCTTGATTCCTCGCAACCATTTTCTTAGTGTTTCCCTCCACAAATTCTTTCCCGGTTCCCAGCTATTAATTTGCGTGTTAAAAGACCCTTAGCTATTCAAGTACTGCTTGAAGCTAGGTTACTTAATTAGCAGTGAGATCCTTCGGCAGTTTATAGCTTGCTTGGCGCAGGGAAAGAAAGTAATGCATATAATCCTTTAGACCAATATGAAAATATGGGTGGTATTGCAAAAGGATGCACTAGCAGCGCGACCAATACCTAGTTCTTAATATATTTTTTCAGAGCGTGTACAAATGACCACTTAAGAACTGAAACAGGATGGTGTAGCAAGGTCCCCTTTGGATTGAGAGTCAATGATTGATCTCATAGCCCCAAGAGTAGGTTTATTAACTCCATGGCTGCTCCCATTTCCGTAGCTCTTCTTCTCTCCCTCCTTTTTGATAATGTTGTGCCTCTCAATCCATTGATTTCCTCTACAACGAATGCAACCCAACAGACAGATATGGATTCAACCAAACAAACCTTTTCTAGTAGGATTTGCTACCATCATCCCACTTAGTGGAGCTCTTGAGCTAACTAACAAAGCTTCTACTAATGTCAGAGGCCATGCATTCTATCCCCAACCAATACAATTGTTCACCAAACATTCTTCTTCCGTCAACTCTTCTAATTCCTTTAGTACAAACTTGTTTTTGAAAAAGTCCCCAAAGATGTTAACAGAGGCGGCTATGGCCTCGTCTCCATTTTATCTCCTTCACCGCAATTTCCTGGAGCTGAAGGGGATCACTACCTCGGAATTTTTAACTCAACAAATGATGGGAACCCCTCAAACCACATCTTTGCTGTTGAATTCGACACTATTGATGGGCACACAGAGGCACCAGATACCCCAGGCAACCATATTGGAATCAACATCAATAGCATGGCGTCAGTTGCATCGGAGCCGGTTTCTTATCATTTTAGTCATATTGCTGTAAAGGAAGGAGTGAGGTTGGAGAGTGAAAAACCAATCCAAGCTTGGATAGAGTACGATGGTGGAAAAGGGGTTTTGAATGTAACCATTTGGCCTGAATCAAGACCAAAACAGGCCAACTAGTCAGATAACGTAAGATAAAGGTCTTGGAGTACCGGAGTTTGAGAATACTAGATTAAGCTTAAACAAACCAGAAGCTAGAATAAATTTAACCCACTCGAGTTTGAGCAGTTTACTCACCTTGGAAGTCATTGGATTTGTAATCCAAACAAATTTTGCTAGTTTTTTCTCTCACAGACATATTGTCGAGTACCTATCCCACCTTCCCACCCTCAATTCCCTTCTCCATCCACTTGGTTCCTTCGTATCATCTGAAACAACCCATTTTCCATTCCGAGGTGGAATTTCATTCAGCTTGTTTCCTCTCCGGATTGACATTCCTTTGTAAATTGGGCTTTTTACCACTGGAAAGCTAAAAATTTGCCAAATTCCATGAAAAAGCTAGAATTCTTTCGCTGAATCTGAAGAACTTGGATTGAATGGGATCTTCCCCACAATCTCAATGGAGTATCAGTTATTAGAGCTTGAGGCTCCATTACCAGGTTTGAATCTGGTATATGTTGCAGAGTTCCGTTATTTATAACGCTTATTTTATGTTTTGGTTCAACTCTCTCCATCGGGCCAACCATACAAGATTTGCTTACACTAACCTTTTATAGTATTTTGCTGGAGGCATGAAAGACATTATTCATTGGAGTAAAGACAACGAGTCGTGCTTGTGTGATATTAGGAATATTATACGGTGTGATTTCAAGTGTCAACCTTAGTGGGACCCATCTTAGGGACCCATCTTGGTGGGTGTTTGGGTTGCTTCTAAAAAAACACTTCCATTCTAAAACATTACCATCGAATATGTTTAGTGAAAAATTAAAACAGAGCTTACGTAAAAAAAAAAAAAAAAATCCCCAGCTTGTTTAAGTGAACTAAGAATTGTAACTTATAAAATTGTGTTGAGTGTGGTCCATCAGTTTAAGTAACTAATTTTTTTTTAGATAATGTAATCCATTTATATTTTTTATAAATACAATTTTATCCTTATTACAAACAAATAGCAATCTAATATCCTAATTTTTTGGGGACTCTCAACAGCAAATGAATATCCTAATCTAAATGAATATCCTAGTTTTATCATAAGATCCCAAATCAAATACAAATTAATAATCATTAAATTATGTTTAACTTATTTATATTTTAGTACTAAATAAAATACTATATCATAAACAAAATATGTGATTTTTTTTAAATAAATAAAAAAAAAAAAAAAAAACAAATACAAGTTGATCATCATAAAGTATTGAACTGAGTGGAATTTTACAATTTTTAATATTAAAAAATTAACACATGTTTCTTAGTGTAAAATATAATAAAATTAGTAATAAAAGTACTTTATTTAACATTATTACCAAATAAATTTAAAAATTGCAATCAACACTACTCTTCCATCCAAAAAGCATATGAGACTGCACTATGCTTTGAATGATCTTGGATTATCTCATATCGGCAGGTGAAAACCTTTAGAATTGAAAAAACTTCTATAATTCTCTCTGTGCAAAAGCCAAAAAATATTACCCCAAATTAAGAGTTTCTTTGGTGATTATACATTCAGAGATGTTGTATGTACTCTCCCATATATATATAGCACTTGTATAAAGGTTCTCAATTTGAAAGATAGATTATGCATTATTTTAATGGAGTGATACATTACATTTTAGTCAATTTTATGTCATGACACATAAATAGTCAATTATATCATTTTCTATTTTGTATACATATAGTTCAAGAGTCAAGGTAAGATGTATCATGTATCCAATCACACTATTTTATGTGATTGGAGAATGACATCGTCGTGATGTTATTCAATATGATGACGTCATGATGTTATTCTATATATAAATTTTGTCAAATGTGTTCGACCCTAGAACTTAGGATGGCAATTTCTCCTGACCTGGCGAGTTTTCGCCCCGCCCCTAATGAGGTGGATTTGGTAGTCTTTAAATGGGTTTGAAGCTGGTTTGGTAAAATAATTAAAAACTCGAAACGGGTTTGGGGCGGAGGCGGATTCAGTGATAAACACGCCCCGATTATATATGTACCTTTAAAATTATATATATAATATATTTAATACTTTCAAGACCTTTATTGCTTTGTTGCAAGTGCCAGTTAAAATGATAATATTCACTACTTAATTATTTAAAAGTTCTTTCAACTTATTTATCAACCCAATTTGAGCACATTGGGCTATTTTTTTTTTTTTTTTTTTTTACTAAATAATAAAGTGGCATAACCCACCTCATCCCCGCAATTAAACAAAATACGCAATGCGGAGTCAGTACTTTGTCTACTGATGTGTAGGCGGGCATTGTATTCAAATTACAAACCCGTCCTAAAGTAGTGGCGGAGTTAGTATGACGAATTTTCTAACGAGGTAGAGTAGGGTTTAGTTAAATCCGCCCCGTTGCCATCCCTAGTCGAACTCTCTATCATTATTCTTTATATGTTTCAAAAAAGTCAACCTCTCTTGACTCATTTGTATAGACGATGTACGTGCTATATGAATTATGTACGATTGCATAAACTAATTAAGAATTATATACAATATCTAAGGGTACCATGTAACATACTTAACATCTTACTTAAGCGGTTATTTATGATTAATTTTATAAACTATAGCATGTTGTTGGATTTTTTATCAATAAATTAATATTACAATATAAATATTAAAATGAAATAATTAAAAAGTAAAAAGTTTCCAAACAATTACTCCAAAAAATATATATATTAACATTTAAAATTTAGGGTTAAAATAAATAAACCCTCCTGTTGTTTCCCAAAACTATCAACTAACCACCTCAACTAAAGAAACTATCATAATACCCCTGCATATTTTTAAAAGTCTATCATATCACCCCCTACCCGTTAGTTGACCGTCTAAAATTAACGGAATCTCATCACGCGACCATCACGTGCACCATATACTACATTATGCTATAAAAATAACCTTGTTCTCTCGTAATGATGAAATTGCCCTTATTACACCATAAATGAGATTGCACGTTCCTTTACAGATCAAAGCTTCGGTTATCTTCTTCTCTAATTTCAGTGGTGTCCTCCATTGTAACAATAACAGAAGTTATCGTCCTCTATTAAAGCCGTAATCGATCAATTGAAGTCCCCAATTGATGATTTGAAGGCCTAAATCACGACCAATCTTAGCCCTACATTGATTATTTGAAGCCCTAAACCGTAATCAGTCGAAGCCCTAATGTATTCTTCCACCACACAATCTATTATTAGGCAAGATCTTATATATAACAACAAAATATGTGATTATGGCTATCTAGCTATTGTTTAAATAAGTTTAACAACAAAGGGAAGATATACTATTCTTGTTCCATAAAAAGATGCTCTTTACGAGCATGGTGTGATCCGATTTCGACAAAGCCAGCATATACTAAAGCTATTGACAGCAAGTTTAGTGAAGGTGAAATTGTTGAATTGAAGTACTGGTATGATACATTCAATTCCCGTTTGTGATGTTCTCTGTTGTTGAATATTTGATAGATTTAAGAAGAAAATAGTGAGTTGGTTTTAATTTTGAATTATCAACGTATATTGAATGTATTTCCTTAAATTTGTATGAGCTTGTGTGTATGGAAAGTGTTTTCTGAAGCCCTATGAAGTGTGTATGCAATGTATTTTTCTGAATTATCAAAGTGCATGAGCAAAAGTGTATTTATTTAGAAGTCTTTAACTTTTGGCATTTTAAAGAGGGACCACTAATGGCAGTAAACACAATCAAAGTGAAAAAAATTGGAGCTGTAATGAGTATGAAAAGTGTTGAAATTGGACCATAATGAGTGTGCAACTTTTCCTCAAATGCACATTTGCAAAGTGTTGAAATTGGACCATAATGAATGTGCAAAAAAATATAGAATCATGTGAAAACTACAGACCATATAATATCATTTCTGTGAAAAGATACATAGCATATAATGTCATAAATCTTGTCAAAACATACATAGCACATGCACATGTAATTTTCCAAAAAAAATATTATCATAATCAAACCAACACCTACATTATAGCCATACATATATTGTCATTTCAGTAAACATTAAGAAAACATATGATAAGCTGCACAAAATCTTAACCCTGTTCATAATCTTCAAAATTTTCACTATGTCCATAGAATAAGTTGCACCAAAAATTTGCTACTACTTTTATCGTCATGCCATCATTCGTGTGTGTTAAGTGTGGATGGAAAGTCTATACGAATCACTTCATATTGGGTGTATGTTGATGCTCTATTCAATAAAGTACAACACATCTAGTTAGCAAAATGTGTTTTAATTCAATTTAATTTAATTTAACCCAAAAGAAAATAATAAGAGGTTCAATTTTAATACTTCTGAATGACCAACAACAGCTCTTCCACCAAGACCATAATGTTGGGTAGATGTTGATGGCTATTAAATAAAACAATAAATGTCAACATATATCTGTATAATGCATAATAAATATGAAATAATAAATTCTAATTTATACCTCTAAATGAAGGACAACAGGTCTCTTACCACCTCCATCATTTTTGCCACCACTGCCACCACCTCTAGTAGCTCTTTCAACTCCCTTACCACCTCTAACAGCTTTGTCACCACTGCCACAACCTCTGTGAACACGACAACCATAGTAACAGCTTTGTCACCACTGCCACCACCTCTTGCAACACTAGCAACCCTATTAGCATCTCTGTCAACTCTTTCACCACTTCTATTAGTTGTAACACCAACTCTCCCACCCCTACTAGTGTTAACTCTCGTACCACCTCTGTTAACTGTCACACCAACTCTCCCACCCCTACCACTGTTAACTCTCCCATCACCGCGTAAGCAGGTCTCCCACCCCTACCATCAACAGTTTCATCTCTACCACCACCTACACTATATGTACCTCTTATTATTGGTGATCTTCTACCCTTACCTTTTGGTTGTTTTGTAATAGGCTCAAAGGCTATACAAGTCCTGACATTATGACCCAAGACAGTACATTTAGTGTATATCAAT